GGGTGATGCTGATGATATTCGAGATATTTGAATATGATGACCAAAAACGTAGCGATGTCACGCAGTGATGCGAATTGGATTGGGCATGATTGGGGTAACTATCCCAAAATGGCCGAACGTTTGAGTTTAGTGAATTATTACAATTGCTACAAATTTACAATTTAGAGAACTGAGAGACATTGATGGAATCTGGAGTTGCTATAAGCTAACCCATGGAATTTGTGATGTCAACATCATATACAAGCAGATTTGTTGAATGATTACACTGCCAAATTAAAATTAGCAGAGTGTATCCTGATTTTCTCAGATGAGTGGGGACTGTGGTTTCCCATCAAAAGCACCTGCAATGTGGTGCCCCATGATGCCCAACTAGCTTTACTTGGGTTTATGATAGATATATGGATGTGTGTATATATATATATATATCATATATATATATATTATAGTGTATCTTATACAGTAGTTGGGTGGTGTATCAACCAACAAACATTTCACTGGTGGGCCATCGCAACGTACCTCTGCGGTACTCAAAATATTGCCCAGGTTTATGAAGCTCCTGGCATGACATTGTTGGGCCATGCATTGGATTGTGTGCCTCGGCAGCCATTGAAAGACCACTTGACTATTCCTGGGATTACAGGCTGGTAGACGCTTGGTGAATGCGTTTTATGTTTCTGGTTGCCATAAAATATTTGAATTCCCACACTTCTTAGCTATAAAATATATGAATTCCAACATGTGTTTAATCATTTTTGCTGTGTGCAATGCATCTAATCTATTGCTGTGAAAAGTGCAGGTTTCTTTCAGGTACAGGTGCTTGAAATGTATGGTTGAGTGGAGCCTACAATGTGTCGTTCTTTTTTGTATTGGGATGTATGAACCATCCTGTGTGCGGCAATCTTGACCAAGCCTCACTTTGCTGAGACGTGCATTCGGTTGGAAGTGGCAAAGGGTTTTTTTGCTCCAAACACATATAGAAAGTTAAAATAGCTGAATAGCTTGGGGATCCAATCATCTCCGTTTCGGATGTTATTTTGAGAATGCCAATACCACGGTGATGTTTCTATCGGAAGCCCTGGTCATGATGGACCTGCAGGGATACAGAACCCCGCCAAGAACGTGGCCGGGTGGCCGGCATTTCCAATGTGCGTTGACTGAAGTTGACCCAACCGAGGTGTACATGTCTGTGCTGGACCGGAGGTCTACAGCTCTTTTCAGACAACTCAGCATCTCGCAGCGGGGAATCCAATGAGATTTCACGTCGGGGAGATACCCGACATGGTAAAGGTTTACATAGCGAACTGGAAAATCACCATCTTTGATAGGTAAATCAACTATAAATAGGCCATGTTCTATTGCTATGTTAGTCATTACCAGAGGGTAATGGGAATATCTTCAACGATCTAATAATGACCATCCATAATCTAAATGGGAAAATTGTGATGGGGATTTAGCTCTCTAACATTATCCAACATGAGGATACATTGAGTGGTTTCAAGTCCCATGTGATTTCATTTTCTTGCTCAACATGTTTCAACATGTTCAGCAAGCATACCTGGGTTTATGATCCAAAGGGTAACTGATATCTCGATAGGGTGAAAGCACCACTACCATGGTGATGATAGTGTAAGTAACGTTGCAAAAGATGAGGTTCATGGGGCAAGTCTAAGGAACTCTGTCAAGCCACATTTTCTGCAACATATGTTGACATGCATAATTACATTATATTAGGAATTAGGACCCCGCCGACTTGACACCACTGGCCTCCATTCTGAGTTCCTGGCATGTGTTAATTCCATACCATCTATTTACAATGTGTCTATGGGTATGTAGAGTGATAACAATCATGCACACGATCATCAACCCCCATTCAACCAATTGGTATATCCCTGATATCACCTATCTGGGACAGTTGCAATAATTCTCAATCTAGGGGATGATTCCCCTAATAAATGCTAACCATTACCGCAAGGTTAGTCAGTAAATGTGCTGAGATGTATTGTGTATATGTACCTGGTACCCTCTGGTAAATTAACATAGACCCTGAAAATCACCAGTTTATAGTGGCTTCATGTGGTTTCACTAGTCTTCCAACCCCCAAGTCATGGCAGGGTCTATGTTAATTTACTAGAGGGTAACTGTTGGGAACATGAAGGGTAATATCAAGTTACCATATGTGGATGATCTGGGATTCTAGGAGGGGATTTCAGCACGGCCAATCAACGATGTTTTGGGCAAGTAGTTGAAGGATTACATGCAAAGTGACATGGGGTTTTTGCACATGTACACCCTTGGGTAGTCTAACTTGGCAATGGGAAATACCTCATAAATGGAGATTTGCAGTATACAAGTGGACAAATAATCGAACTAGATGGTCTAGTAGCTCCTAGATGTTCAGTCGCTATGTTTGATTACCAAACGACCATTCAACATAATTGACTAAACCACCCTGACTAGTCTCTACTTTGGATCGCTGCTAGGGAAATTGTATGAATCATGTTTTGCAAACCTTGAATAGATGCCCCACAATGAATAGAATAGAAACTCAGCATCGTTTTTTTGTTGCTTCTGATTTTAACTGGAATGTTCTCTAAAATGCCATTCTGAAATCTTCATTTCAAGCTATTGAAATCCCTGTTTTGTCAAAGATCCTCTGTGTGAAATCTCCGAGGTACTCATATCTCGGATCAGATCTACGACGGGCGCTATTTCGATCCCTCCACGCGCGCCGCCATCAATGCGGTGTGGCAGTTAGCGGAGCCGGCTAGCGGGACCGTCAAGCGGCACGGCCACGATGGGGACATGGGAAGCGCCATGACATGCCATGACTTATCCATGAAAAATAATGAAAACTTCTTAAACAATGGGAATCTAAATGAATTTCACCCGCATCAGGATATACCCAATGGAGAAGCATGATGATTTGCTCCACTTCGCTAAGTTGGAATGAATTCTGCAGTCGGTTGATTGGATTTGCGGTGTATCCATAGTTCATGCACCACTGGTTCTTATATCATGAAGAAATCTGAAGATGGAGATATTAACACCTGGACATTTCTCATCATTTCTAGCTTCCTTTTTTATAATGAGGTTTCAGGGGGCTGAAGTCACTAGCGTCGGACTATAGCGTTGGATTTTTGATGATTTTTGCTCCTCCTGAGTCGTCACGCGGTCGATTGGACTCGAGGCTCGGCCTTCACAAGGGCCACATGTTTTTTTTGTCGCTCACCGGGTGCCCTCACAGCATCTATTTTGAGGAAGACTCCTCTATGGACGCTTGCCGGAGACAGCCTCCTTTGATGGATATTTACAGTATACTTATCAGGTGGTCCGAAGATGTCCGAAGCCCAACTGGTTTGTCATCATTCTATCAAATTGCCATATGGGGATGTTTTTGAAGCTATACCTCATGTCAAGACACCCTGAAAAATGGGAGAATAACAGTACAACTCTGCAATATCTGGGGGGTTGAGCAGACAAGAACGGGAGGAATCAGCCTTGAAAGGTGAGATAAAGTTCACTTCATCGGAATCGATGAATGTGTACAATGTGAGGCCCCCAAGATATGTTTGTTGGCTTATAAGCCCCAGGAACTATAGTTACAAATACCATAAACCATATAGTTATTGGAGTTATGTTCACAAACTTAGCTATCGAGCAGGGGCCTCACATTGTATGATTGTTCCCACTGCAGGAATTCCAACCAGGAATCTGGGATGAAGGTGAACTGGGCATTGCTCAAAGTTTGCGGGTCGTCTCATATCTTAGCAGTCGTGGAGCCGTTCTCTTTAGCATTTTCAGGAACTAGATGACGGGACCCCCAACAACATTAAGAGATATAGCCATATTGATGGTATTTGGAACTGTGGAATCGCTGCAAGGTGCATATGCCCCCTATATTTAAGATGGAACCACAACATGACAACATCCAGGTGCTGAAAATTATCGAACCCAGACTCGATATATCTTAGGTCCCGTCTAAAGTTCATCTTAATTTTGGAAAAGCAGTTAGATCCTTCAAGTGGAGTTATTGTTAGGTCAATCTCCCAATCTCTCAACAGGATTTTGGTAAAACCCAGACAACCTCAGGTCGCACCCCGGCGACATCACACCTGGCTCAGGAAGCATCTGGTGGCTTGAATCCAGCAAGCTCACAGGGATACTTGGAGGTTTCGTCCGTCCCTTGGTCAAAAGCAGGTCTTGAGGCAGGAAAAGTGTTTGACCTATGTTTGACCTGTACACACGCACACTTGGTTTGCACACGGTTCGGCAGCTGGAAGGGTAATCGGCAGAGGTCCCACAGTTGGTAAATTCCTCTCCAATCTGATTCCCAATTTCCAGAAATCACGGGATTCCTGTGTGCACAACGTAAGCTTTGCGAAAGCTTCAAAAAAGGAACCATTGCCATGGTTGATATCCAGAGGCTATAGTTCAATATATCAACCATATAAAGAAAGTCAAGTCATATCAAATCCAATTGTTCAGCTGCACTAAACCAACTTATATAGCGAAGATAAATCATCATAAATCAACATAAATCAACTACATTGACTACATTTTTGCCAGATGTTTCTTGGAAATTCCCACCATTTTTCCCATTTTTTGCTCACAAAACTCAGTGGACCAAAACACCGAGGTCGAGGCGAAGGCCTTGGCGAAGGCCAAGTTGATTGATACTGGAGACTTGGCCTCCAAGCCACAAAAATTGGGAATCTGGTGGTGAATGGTGGATAATGGGAATGGTTAATAATGGTTGGTAATCTATATGAATGGTGGTTAATAGTGGTTAATAATGGTTGATAATGATAATCAATGGTTATTAGTATGGGGTAATGATGGCTAATGGTGGTTAATGATAGTTAATAATGGTTAATAATAGTTAATAATCACTGTTTGGTGCTTTAGAACATGAATGTTATTTTCCATTTCATATATGGGATGTCATCCTTCCCATTGACGAACTCATATTTTTCAGAGGGGTAGGTATACCACCAACCAGCAGAACAATTTACAGGAACCCCCCCGATCGAACATCCGATCGAAGCGTTGCGATGTTCTCCGACAACAATGTAGTGCGGCCCCAGGGATGCGAATGGATTTATCATATACCCAAATTAACTCAAGATATATCAATATATATACATGGAAAAATCTCTGCTTATAAACAATCTTGGCCAACTATGAGGCATCAGCTTGTATGAATATACCAGTTTTTAAGGTTGCCAAAAACAGAGTAAATAAATCAGCTACCCATGAGAGAACATCCCAGTACCAATGCAACCTTGAAGAGTGCACTCAGGGCACCCAGAAAAATGGTTAGGCGAATCTGTGAGAAACAAACAGACCTAAAGTGTCTAATTGGAAACCAAACGCAGAACAGTATTGCTTCTCCATTTAAAACCTATGATACCAGGTTGATTCATAAAACTCGGTGGGAGGTGAACATTGAGGAGCACCAGCTGTTTTTTGATCCATGGATTTCGCCACGGTTGCGGCCATGTTCCACGAGCTTTCAGGAAGTGTTTGGAGTAAAAGACAGAAGACTGCCTGATGGAGTCAGGCAGTGCCTCCAGGAGCGTGCCGCCAGTTCCGGCGGAGGTTCTGGTGGAAAAATAGCACTGAAGCATATGTATACTGGTGTGTGTATATATATATATAGGATTCGACTCATCCCAAATATCCCAAATTCACCTTATTTTAGCCGGTGATTTGTTGATTGGTGGCGATAGGCTATATCATAATCCTTCTGGAGACCCCATCTCCGTTCCACCAACGTTTGCTGTTTGACCCACTTGGAATTTTGGTTTCTGCCTGTCATCTTTAGCCATTGAAATGTCAGTGGTTGCCACCAAACTGCCTGCGTCGCAAGGAGCAAATGACGCTTTCAGTGGTGCATCTTAGGCGCTTTTCTTTAGACTTTAGAACGATAGGATCTCCTTCGTTTCCAAACAGCACCAACAGATGGTACGTCTTACCATGGCGTGCGTTAAAAGAAGGCGCAAGCGCAAGCTACATACAGAGTAGGGGGATTGTTGTCTTGCGTGGGCCCAGCAACTTTGGGTTTAGTTCAAAAGTGAGCCACAATGCCAGAGATGGGTCAGTGTTAGAGATGTTTTGTATGAGCCATCCATTTTTTGGGGGAAAATTCATGACGTGCTTTGACCATCTTTGACCATCTTTGACCATCTTTGACCAATACCCAGATGTTATGGAACATCCGGGTGCCCGGAACAGACAGCTGTTTCATCAGGACTCATCCCACTCAGAAAATGAGGAGATTTTTCGAGATTTGGTTGATAGATCCAGCTAGACAACAGTTCAATCTTCAGGAAGCCCAATTTTTTTTGATGGCGAAAGAACAACATGAGTACAAAGTTTGAAGTAAAGTGTGCACAGTGTATGACCGTGTACCCAATATCTCGTGGTTTCCAAACAAAAAACACATGACTCTCATGACTTCCCCGTGGCCTCTGAACTCGCAGGACTTTTTCAGGACTCGCAGGACTGAGCACTGGCAATTTTCCGGTTAAATGACCGGTAGCCCAAAGTGGTGGATATATACAGTAAATGGGATCTTATGTGATATATATATATTATAAATTATTATAGTTGTATAGATATGTTTTCTGTCGGGATTTATGAACAAAGTGATCCAATTTATGGTTATTGCGTTGGGGGTAGCTTATTTCACACAAACAGATGAACCTTGCTCCCATTCGATCCAGATTTGTGACACAAGGCGACCCCAACAAAAACTATGGTAACGTACACAGATGGTCGATGTCGATACGATGAAGCTAGGTCAATCTCATCATCCCAGGAAGTAGAATGCCTCACGTTTTTTGGAGCAACAAAAACTGGCCGCGTTTTGGAACAAAACCGGTGGATTCTTTGAACTTGCCATACGTTTCACGAAACAGCCTATATACATGTGGTACTTCAGTAAGACATTCCAGCTTCATTTTTGTTAAATGGTGTCATGGTGCTGGGACTATGTCATCATTTTTTACGATATCCCTTGCTGCCTGGCCGATGTGGGTGTCCGCAATTTTGCCCCGGAAAAATCCAATGGTTTGATGATGGAGCCATTGATATTTCCATTCTATAGATATATATATATATATACATTCCATTCATATTCCATTCATATTCCATTCATATTCCATTCATATTCCATTCATATTCCATTCATATTCCATTCATATTCCATTCATATTCCATTCATATTCCATTCAATAACCCCTGGCTAATGGCTGGATTCTTGTGGGGTAGCCAAACAGAGTTGAACGCCTCACAGGCCTCACAGGCTTTCAAAAATGCTGACTTGTACCCGGAGAATGGGAGCTCCACAGTTAATTATCCTCAATTCTGGTAATTTGGTGGCGTAGTTCTACTTAAATCTACTTAACAAGTGGGTCTGTGGCCATAATTATACCAAATTTTCATAAAGTATCAGTTTTATATCCCAACTTCTGGAGGTTATTCGCATGGGTACAACTCCAAATGCACCTAGAAGGACTCACTGGCGGACAGATGACCAGAATTTCTTTGCCCCAATGGATCGAACGTTCAGCAGGTACTCAGACTCAAGTGCGTTTTTTGAGATCGACTCCTCCAAAGCAGATTCCTTCCGATTTCGGCTCCAGATTTTGACACATGTTTGCCGTGAGATATGGCCGATATGGCCCGCAAACCTGCCATGTGAGAGTTCAAGGGCTTCAAGTCGGTCGTGGATGCCGCTTTGGGGACTTCCCCAAAAGGCATTCCAGTGGCTTGAAGCATTGGACCAGGGTAACCCGGGTCACCCTTTCCGCGCTCTTCGCGGCACACGTCCGACGCTGCCATGGCCGGCCATGGCGTTCTGCGCATGTGGCTGACAGTGAACTGCGCCTTGGAAAACAAGGATAAACGAGGTTCCAAAGGCACAAGCTCATGACGAGATAAGAACTGGCTTCACCCAAGCATCCTGACTAGGGTCGAAAACTACTTCAAGGTCACCTTTGATCAAATAAATGGATTGCAGAGAATGCCCTGTTTGTAGATGAATCATCTGGATTGAATCTGAAAATTCTGAAATGTCTGCTGCTCGGTGCATCAAATCTCCAATTTCGGTCAACATCAAGCTATCCTTGATGACACTGCTTTAGCTACAGTAACTCCCATGACTTCATTTTTTTTCATTGGTTAAGTGCCAATTTATCATCACAGTTTTATCATATTTAGATTATTTAGCAGATGTTTTCTTATTTCTGTTTAAAGAAAATAGCTGGTTGGTGGTTTCAAACAGTTTTTTTATTTTCCATTTCATATATGGAAAATTATCCTTCCCATTGACGAAGTCATATTTTTCAAGATGGTTATTGCACCATCAACCAGATAGGTTAATCACTATTAATCACTATTAATCACTATTAATCACTATTAAAATACACTATTAATCACTCTATAACTACACTATTAATCACTATATAAATACACTATTAATCACCATTCATCACTATATAAATACACTATTAATCACCATTCATCACTATATAAATACAGTATGAATCACCATTAATACACTATTAACCACTATAAATCACCATTAATACACTATTAATCACTATTAATCACTATATAAATACACTATTAATCACTATTAATCACTATATAAATACACTATTAATCACCATTCATCACTATATAAATACACTATTAATCACCATTCATCACTATATAAATACACTATAAATCACCATTAATACACTATTAATCACTATAAATCACCATTAATACACTATTAATCACTATTAATCACCATTAATACACTATTAATCACTATTAATCACCACTAATACACTATGAATCACTATAAATCACCATTAATACACTATTAATCACTATTAATCACCATTAATACACTATTAATCACTATAAATCACCATTAATACACTATTAATCACTATAAATCACCATTAATACACTATTAATCACTATAAATCACCATTAATACACTATTAATCGCTATAAATCACCATTAATACACTATTAATCATTATTAGTCACTACTGGGTTAAGTACCATTGTTTTTTTTCATGACGGTCAGGTCACTTTGGTCCCATGCATCCAGGCCTGCTGAAGCAGCACCGCAGCTTCCGCCGCCCTTGCCGCCCCGGAAGCTGATCGTGCTGGCGGGGGCGGATGATGCGGGACTTCGAGCCATGAAAGTTGTGGAGGAAACTTGACACTTGGTGAATCATGGACCCTGCAAGGTGGTGCCCAATAGTTAGCTAAGTTGGTGAACCAACTTACAACTGGGGGGGCACCACCTTCTAAGGGGGGGTTGTAAGTTGGGAAGTTTCGCAATGACCGTTAGCCTTTGGGAAACATAGAAAAAACGATGGAAAATCACCAGAAAATCAGCATTTTTAATCATTTTTAATGGGTACTAACATAACTATGGAAAGATCCACCAGAAAGATCCACCATTTTGTAGCTGGGTAAACCTGGTTTCCATGATATGGAAGATTAGTGAGGATACCTGGTAAACGTTTACATAACGAACTGGAAAGATCCACCATTTTGTAGCTGGGTAAATCAACTATTTCGACTGGGCCATGTTCAATAGCTATGTAAACGTTTACCAGAGAGTAGGTGACACGTGGTTTTCATAATATATGTGTTGTTTATTTGTGTTTTTTTCTGTCAATGATATGGAGATACCAGTAGTACCGCACAAGGCGGTGGCGGAAGTTTCAGAATGGAAACCTATAGGAGACGTTCGTTGTTGTGAATCACGGATGGCAGAGCGAATCCACTGATTGACCGAAAGGTGGTTGGAGTTGTGTTTGCTGGAATGGTTGCAATGGTTGCAGTGGTCACCTCCCCCACAACTGCTGGATGTAGTGTGATGTACTGCAACTGTAGTTGTAGTTGTAGCGTAGTGGAGTTGTAGTTGTGGTGTAATGTAATTAGTGTAGTGTAGTTGCAGTCATATAGTTGTAACTAGTTGTTTTGTAGTTGTAGTTGTAGTAGTTGTAGTTGTAGTTGTAGTTGTTGTTGTTGTTGTAGCTGTAGCTGTAGTTGTTGTGTGGTTGTAGTTGTTGTGTAGTGTAGTTGTAGTAGTAGTAGTTGTTGTTGCTGTAGTTGTTGTAGTTGTAGTTGTTGTTGTTGCTCCTGTTGTTGTAGTAGTAGCTGTTGTTGTAATAGTTGTAGTAGTAGTTGTTGTTGTTGTAGCTGTAGTTGTTGTAGTTGTAGTTCTAGTTGTAGTTGTTGTGTAGTTGTAGTTGTAGTTGTAGTTGTTGTAGTTGTAGTTGTAGTTGTTGTTGTTGTTGTTGTTGTTGCTGTTGCTGTTGTTGTTGTAGCTGTAGTTGTTGTGTGGTTGTAGTTGTTGTGTAGTGTAGTTGTAGTAGTAGTAGTAGTAGTTGTAGTTGTTGTAGTTGTAGTTGTTGTAGTTGGTGTGGTTGGTGTTGTTGTTGTTGTTGTTGCTGTTGCTGTTGTCGTCGAAGTTAGGGTAGTTAAGTTAGTGAAGTTAGTTAAGTTAGTTAAGTTAATCAGTGTCTACTTTTTCGACATCTTCACGTCAAAAAAGGCTCAAAACCCTCAGTTTTTTACACTTTTGACTTCGAAATGTGCTTCGTGCCACAACGGCGTGCACTTTTTAGACACTTTTTCGACATCTGAATCTCCAAAAGTGGTCCGAGAATGGTGTGTTTTGTACATTTTGACTTGGAAATGTGCTTCGCGCCACAACGGCGTGCACTTTTTCGACATCTCAACTTCCAAAAGTGGTCCGAACCCCTCGTGTTTTGTACATTTTGACTTGGAAATGTGCTTCGCGCCACAACGGCGTGCAATTTTGCATCGCTCCTGTGGCCAGCTGGCTCCGCACCCGCCGCTTTAGCGAGCCTACTTTTCGACCCTCCGGCGCCACAAATCATTGGAAAAATACAGTGTTTCGCGACTTTCCTACCTTTTCGCGCATCTGTAGCGTCTGTCCTCTTACTCTTTCTCTTCTGATCTTCTCTCTTCTAATCTTCCTCTTCTCTGTGCCTCTGCCCTGCTCTGCTTTTCATCTCTCCATATTGTCGGAAGTTTGACTTCTAAACTTCCTTCGATAAGTGGATAATCATGTATGATTGATAAATGATTGTTGGAGGTGACTTAAAGGGATTCTGATGGGTATTTTTCAGTGATTTAATGGGATTTAATGGATTTCTGTCCAGCTGGGATTAGTTTGGGAATTATAATATATTATTCTAAGCAAATCTATCAATTAATTGGGGATTGTCACAATTCGATAGAAATTGACACTTGATTTTCAATGATTTGCTTATTGGGTTTCCATGTGTTTTTTTTTTTAATATCTTGCTAATGGTTGTTTGATGATTGCTGGGGTTTTAAGATGGTTTTGTTTTGATTTAATGAGATGCTCACGGAATTTTATTGGGGTTCTAACCATCAAGATATGAAGAAGTGGATATATTTGATAGATAATGATTGACGATCAGTTTAGAGATTATACGAACCAATGTATTGATATATTGCGGGTATCCCAATCCATGAACGGGTAATCCCCATCGTGAATGTGTACTTAAGGGATTCTTTTTTGTTGACCACCATTAGCTATGTGTTTGCGGCTATATATAGGGATGCAATTTTAAGAGACTTAAGTGACTTAAGTGGTAGGAATGTCAACTTGGGATATGTTTGGTTTGGCCATGATTCATGATTCGCTGTGCCATAAAAAAAGGATTCACTCTGCATAGTATCAGGAATGTCAAGTTGGGGATATTGTTTGATTTGCAATGATTTGCATTATGTTGCCATTAAGTAAGTATACGGGGAAATCGAACAGCTAGCATTCACAGCAAACATGATGAAGGATGCGATGAAGAGCTACTGTGCACCATGATTAATTTACCATGCTTTACTATGACATGAAAATAGATCTACACAGCACATACGCTACAAGCACTGTTGAGTATCAATGATCTGAAGTTGCGTGCTTTTTGATTCTTCAGCTGCAAACGTTGGCCAGTAGGATGTTGACATTGAGTGCTTTTGGATTTGCCATGATTTAAGGCATTAAATGTCAGAAGGCTACAGCAAATTTTCAAGGAAAAAACTGCATATTACCCCCCCAACAAAATACATCGCCACCGGGGTGAACCCAGTGCCACCTGCCGACGTGAGGCCCCTTCCCCCTCCGTACGCTCACGGCGAAATGGGATCGCCCGCCGCCGAGTTCGGAGTGGATGGGCCAGGCGACCCGAGAAAAAGTGGATCCGGAAGAGTTATGGCCCAACTACCAATTATAAATGGGATTATAATATATATGTATATATATATATATGTATATATGTGTATATATGTGTGTATATGTATATATGTGTATATATATATATATGTATATATGTGTGTATATATATATGTATATATATATATATATATACATGTATATATGTGTATATATGTATATATGTGTATATATGTATATATGTGTATATGTATATATATATATACAAAAAACCTCAGTTACAGGAGTTATAATCCCATTTGTAAGTGTTAAGATTGTTAACGGCCATAACTGTAAGAACGCTTGGCAGTTCTGCTAATACGTGGGTCATATTTGGGAATGGGTCAAAATGACAGAATTAGGGGACGGCAGATTTTAGTCACGTTGTAGTATATATTGTATATATTAAGCGTCCAGTTGTTGGGACATCCAATTTTGACCCATAGAAAGGTGTCACCACTGTTGTAGGGATTCTATCCCAACTTATCGAGGTGAATTTGCGATAGTTATAATTACCCATTAATGACCCCAACTGCACCTCCAGGTGTATCTCAAACTGGATTTGTCTGAGCATTTTGGGGGAAAACCACCAAATCGATTCGTTTGTCCGTTTGTCATGTATTTATATATATATACACATTTTTTTCATAATTATATATATATATATCATATCTATAATCGTTCAGCTTTTTTTCCTGTTATGTATGAAATACATGTGAATATATGGCGCATATGAATCTATGTGTGGGTAAACTAAACTTTTTTTTATACTATCAGTTTCTGACCATTTGTTTGTTACATTATGTCACATGTGTTCAGGTCCAAACAAACTGCTGAACACATCGCCCCATATCCCTATACTATGATTGATGGGTGAACACCCCAGTTGTATGTTGGTTAGAACTGATAGCATTACAAGTATAGTTGTATCCCCCTATAACCCAGGTCAAGCAACTTAGTTCAACCACTTTGGCTATCTATAAATCCCGGGGAAAAGCATGGAACATCAGTTTTTTTTGTGGTGAAAGCACCATATCTATATCGGGAGTTGACAGGACTTGGACGTGGCGCTGCTTTTTACCGAGCAGCTCAACTTTTTGGTTGCTGGGGCAGAATCCTGAGAGGATGGCTGTTTCCTAATGTATCTAATGTAGTACGCCCCAAAAAGATTGAACACTTTGGAAACCTGGAAATTACCCTCTGGTAATGACTAACATAGTTATTGAAAATGGCCCATTTATAGTTGATTTACCTATCAAAAATGGTGATTTTCCATAGATATGTTAGTTTACCAGAGGGTAAGGGGAGCATATCATTTATACACTCCTGGAAACACTTGTCCATCTTTTCGGGGGCTACTCTACCGCAAAGCATGAGACTATACAGCCTACTTGTACCATAAAGTCTACTGCAGACCGACACTCATATGTCGTATGGAAGATTGTGGACGACACATTTGGGATTGGGATGTACCTACTTGGCAGACAGGCAAAGGCAGTTATCGAGGCGAACAGGGAGATGGACAATGAGTAGGAAGAAATATTCATACTTGGCTGGACGGTGTAGATTGATAAGGTTATATTTTCCAAATAGATTGGATAGTAAACTCGTTAGATTGATGGATTTATAGATAGATTCCGCATGATTCCGAATTGCTTTGAAATTTGTAATCTAAGTTAGATTAGATTGATCGACTTACAGATGCGAGAAACCTTCAATAACGACTCTCCTTTTAGTGGCAAAGTTGGGTAACATTGGCATGGTGCGTCGCTGTCGGGTCTATCACATTTATATAATAATCCCTTAACATTGCCTCAAGTCAGCTCTAGGAATTATCATGTAATGCCCAGGCCTAGATCATCAAAGATGTAAGGTGGTTACGTTTGTTGGTTTTTGCGCACCCCTTAGCTATAGTTCGATATATCTCCAAACAGATAGACAGACACATAGATAGATAGTTGGATAGGTAGATCATAGGATGGATGGATGGATGGATGGATGGATGGATGGATGGACGCACGGATGGATGGATGGATGGATGGATGCATGGATGGATGCATGGATGCATGGATGGATAGGTAGACAGATATACCCCATGATGGGAGCTAGCTATGGGGCACAATCCATTCGCCAATCTACTTATAAACCAACTTTGATTCACCATAATTACACATTTACAAGTTTACAAGTATGTATTCATATATGGGGGGTTCCATACATGGGCATACCCCAAAATTGATGGTTTATGATGAACAAAACAATTGAATCGATGATTTGGGGTCCCCCCATTTATGGAAACTTTCATGAAGATTTGTAAATCTCATCCCCCGTATAGTAAAGCACCCCCATTCTGATGGTCCTAAACCATGGTTTCTCAGGGTGTGTTCAATGTGAACGGTGGATTAATAGGAAGTTCTCTTGATTTCAAGCCATCCTCATCCTAGTCAAGATGGACAGTGACAAGGATTTGACACCACAAATATGGGTTTGTTGATAATCCATATAAACTGGTATATCATAGATCACGTTGGTTAGTTATATCCCAATATATTTTTAGTTTTCCGCATAATATCCCATTAATATATCCCCTTATATCCCATTCAACAACATAAACTGGTTGGTGGTTTCAAACATGAATTTTATTTTCCATTTCATATATGGAAAATGATCCTTCCCATTGACGAACTCATATTTTTCAAGATATTCCCATATTTTCCCCATAGTTTCCCATAATTTTTATACTTTTCCCCATAGATTTCCCTATAGTTTCCCATTTTAAAAAATGCTTTGACTGCTTTGATAAAAATTGCTTTGTTGATATTGTAACCATACTTACATGGGTAATACCAGTTTTGTAAACGTTTGCCAGAGGGTAATTAGTACATCCAAGTGGCTTACCAAGTGGCTCTCTCCGTGGTACCAGGACACCTTCGGTGCAGTTTGTGGCGCTCTCCGGGGCGGTGGCGTCCTATTGCTCAGCGCTCCCCCGTTGGACGAGTGGAAGCGAAGCGCCATGGGCTGCTTGGAAATGGCCGGTTGAAAACAGGGAGATCCATGTTTTTTTTTGTTCAGCTATATATATATATATTATAAACATATGTAAACATATATTCCAATGTATACACACATTTATATGCACTGTAATCAATATATAAGTGTATATAACATACATACATACATACATACATACATACATACATACATACATACATACATACATACATACATACATACATACATACATTACATACATTACATACATTACATACATTACATACATTACATACATTACATACATTACATACAGTACATACATTACATACATTACATACATTACATACATTACATACATTACATACATTACATACATTACATACATTACATACATTACAAACATTACATACATTACATACATTACATACATTACATACATTACATACATTACATACATTACATACATTACATACATTACATACATTACATACAGTACATACAGTACATACAGTACATACAGTACATACAGTACATACAGTACATACAGTACATACAGTACATACAGTACATACATTACATACATTACATACATTACATACATTACATACATTACATACATTACATACATTTATTACATACATTTTATACATACAAACACACATACAGACATACATACATACAGACAGACAGAGACAGACAGACAGACAGACAGACAGACAGGCAGGCAGGCAGGCAGACAAACAGACAGACAGACAGACATAGATACACAGATTCACAGATAGACAGATACACAGAGACATAGATACATAGACAGACAGATAGATAGGTAGATAGATAGATAGATACACACACACACATACATACATACGTACGTACAGACAGACAGACAGACAGACAGACAGACAGACAGACAGAGAGGCAGCCATGCATGCATGCATACATGCATCCATGCATCCATGCACCCATGCATCCATGCATCCATGCATCCATGCGTCCATCCATCCATCCTTACATATTTGTTTGTTTTGATACATGGAAATATGTGTGCAACATGATCAGCAACAATGGATATTTTTTTATAAGTCTTTAATTTGCAAGAGTGGTTTCAATAGGGTTGACCATCATAAATGGAAGAATCAACCCACTCTAATATTGGTTACAAAGAGGGCCATAACTTCAGCGTATTCTTGGTTTGGCAAGTTGGTTCTTGCCAGCTGTGGAGATTAGGACTAGCAGATTAGTGTTGCAGGCTAGATAGGGTTAAGCTTGATTTGGCCAGCTAGTGGGTTTTTTGCTGCCGAGATGACATGAGGATTCATTTTTTCAGTGCCTCCAAAAATCTTCCTTGCATTGACAGCCCTGGAGGCTCCTACAAGATGCCCCTATCCCATTCAGTTTCAGTAACTATAGATACTGTGGATGGTTGCGAAATCCTGCACCCAAAGGATAGTGAAGAAACCCTATAAATAAGAGAGTGTAACGCCACCAGGTTCCCCAAAAATGCGTGTTTTTTTCCTTTTTTTATATTTTATGTTTTTTTCTACATCTTTGATCATATGAAAGATCAAAGTTCTGGGAGATGTACTGTTTTTGGTGTGTTAATCCTTAGCTTTATTTTTGGCTGTTTGCTTTTTGTAGCTCCATTGGTTTTGTTAGGTGGTCTTGGTATATGCATGCCAAAGTTCTTTGCTCAATAACCTCTGAAACATTTTATATTATATTGTATATCAGTTTTATATGAATATATAGGTACTTCCTAGGCATACAGCTATTGCAAAGATGGTATGTATATTAATATGAATATTTAAAGCACTTTGTATTTGCATTGGTGGTCTTTGAGATTGCCGTGCTAGATCGCCTTTTGGTTGACAGGACAGCTCCAGTGAAACTCCAAAGTTACTGCCCCTGCCCAAGTCATTGCAATATGTTTTGCATGCTTCATGGTGATTTGCTGCATCAATGCGCAAGTAAGGCAGCCATTCTATAGATACAATTGTTTGGGAAGGTTGCTTAGGTGTTTCTTTCACATGTGTTTGTGTCCTTCTGCTTACCATGATGAACTTACAATGACATACTTAAAATGTGTCCCACAGTCATGAGTACATTCCTTATCGAACAGCCATGCCAATAGAGTGTTTGTCATTATATCATCACCGTGGCAATTTCCACTCTAGAACTGGTGAACCTGTGCATAGTTTAAACGTTTTTTTTAATGCATTGGAATTTTAAAATTGATGTCAGGCTAGTCATTTTATTGTTGGGGGGTTGGGCAAAGCATTTTATTGAAAAGGTAAATCCTGATGATTTTTAACATGTTAAAATTCCATTCTCATTTTATTGCAAAAAAAATGTTTGCTTGGAGCATTTTATTGCAGAATGGAACCAATGCTTTTCCAGGATCTTTTTATATCGATTTTATTGGGCATGTCATTTTAGATCAGCGTATTTTAAGGAATTTGAAGGAATTCTAAGGAATTTTAAGGACTATTAAGGAATTTCAAAGGAATTATAAGGAGCATTAAGGAATTTTAAAGGAATTATGAGGAAATTTAAGGAATTTAGAGAGTTTTAAGGAATTTTAAGGAATCTTAGAGGAATTTTAAGGATTTTAAAGGAATTTGACGGAATTTGAAGGATTTTGGAGGATTTTTAAGGATCTTTAATGTTTTTAAAATTTAAAGGATATTTAAGGAATTTCAAGGAGTTTTTTGAAATTCTAAGGAATTTAAAGGAATTTTAAGGAATTGTCACGAAAGAATGCCACCGTATTTTGTTGCTATAGAATGCTATTTAAAAAAAAAACACGCTAAATATTTGGGCACCTTCACTCTAAAATACCCCTATCTAAAATGGATTTCCTGACATCTTTTTAAAGATGCGTTTCTGAGGGTCTTCAAAATTGGATGAAGTTGGATGATGTTGGATGCACATTCAAGCATGAATTTGGTGGCAAGGCATTTTATTGCAGAGCCAGTTTTCATTGTTTTTGTGCATTTTAAAGCCTGAGGCCTATGCACAAAAGTTAGACCGCTCTAAAACTCCTGCACAGCTTCACATAATGAATTGGCACCCCGATATTATATCTACAGTGACAGAGCAAATTTCTATGGAATACGCCAGAATACGCAGGAAAACATACTCCTTCTGAAGCAAGGGGAAAATGAAAGTGGCCTTGGAATCTGCCAACTCTTGTGATCAACAAGTATTTTGAGCAAAGAGTTCTTACAGCATGAACACCTGGACGAATACCACTGCATATGCAAAAAAGGGGTACAAAACTTGTATTTCTAAGGGCATAGATGACTTATATGCCATCCATTCCACAACTGTATGCTACCATATAAGAAAAACATGTTTGTATATAGAGAATAGTTTCATTCTAAGCGAATCTGCAGTTTCGATGTGTTGACACAGCAGATGGCCATGGCATGTGCGAAAAACTGCATTGCTTATATCACAAGGAACCCTTTAGATATCAATACATGTTTTTAGCTGCCATTTGTACTGTATATATACTGCACACTTGTGACGACGTGCTTGCATACTGGTCGAAACTATTCCCCCACTAAAGCACAAACAACACATATATCATAAAACTCTTCATACAGTAGATCAAAGGACTAAGAACAGGAGTGAGTATTGATTAAAAGGATGGAGAAGAGATCTCTTTCCATATGAATGCGTGCTGGAAGCTGCTACTTCCTATTTCCATGTGTTGTGTCATAGCAGTTTTCTGTAAAATGTTTAGAGATTCTTAACTTTTTTTGGTGTTACACATCCTGTCAGAAGCAGCTCCCAGAATGCATTTTCTGCCGTGGAGCATCTGATTGCTCGTGGCATGTGTGCTCTTTGCGGTGCGCTTATTTCTTTCTTGTTTTGGTGGCCCTACCCCCTCTGTTCTATTTCTCTTCCTCTTGGTGGCTGTGGTTGGCCATGGTCCTTTGATGCTGGCGCTGCTGTTGGCGTTTGTCTTTTGGTGCCCCGTTTGTTGTTGTGGAGCTTCTGCTTGCTTTCCTTGGGCAGTCTCTGTTCCTTGCGGCGGTTGTGGTTGAAGTTTGTTTTTTTGGTGCTGGCTGCGGTTTGTGGCTGATGTTTATCTTTTGGTGCTTTGAGGCTTCTGGCCGGTGTCTAATTTGTTTTCTGGCTTTGGCAGCGCTGCCCCTCTGTTGTATTTCTCTTCTTGTTGGCTGTGGTTGGCCATGGTCCTTTCCTGCCTGAATGCGCTGGTATGTCTTCATGATCCGTATCAGTATCCAAGTTTTTTCTTTCTAGTTTGGTCCACCTGAAGCTGGCAGGGAGGACTTGCAATGACACTTGATTTGGTTTATCGGGGCTTGTTTGTCGATCTGCCGGGCTGCAGCTACTGCTGTGAACCGCCACAATCAACCAAGCGACTGAAACAATGGTGCGGTCAGGCATATGTATGCATATGTATGTATATAGTTATATCTATCTATCTATCTACCTACCTACCTATCTATCTACCTACCTACCTATCTATCTATCTGTCTATCTATCTATCTCTATCTATCTCTATCTATCTCTATCTATCTCTATCTATCTTTATCTATCTTCATCTATCTTTATCTATCTTTATCTATATTTATCTATCTTTATCTATCTACCTATCTATCTATCTTTCTATCTATCTATCTATCTATCTACCTATCTGTCTATCTATCTATCTGTCTATCTATCTATCTATCTATCTTTCTATCTATCTATCTACCTATCTGTCTATCTATCTATCTATCTGTCTATCTATCTATCTATCTACCTATCTATCTATCTATCGATCTATCTTTCTATCTATCTATCTATCTATCTATTTATCTATCTATCTATCTATCTATCTCTCTCTCTCTCTTTCTCTCTGTGTTATATATATATATATATATATATATATTGTTTTCATGGCGCATCATGTGCCGAGGAGCTGGCGAAATGACCTGCGGGAGGTGCTGAATCGGCCAATGAGGCCCCGTCTGTGACATGTTGAATGCAATGTGTGGCAGACGTTCGCCTTTTTCAGAGGGGTGTGCATCAGAGTTGCTTTAGCTTTAAACAAGCAGCTTCTGTTGCATTTTTGGGGCCCAGGGGACAGACAGAAAGTGAGCCGTCCGGTGGAGGCTTCAGTGCTTTCAAAGCGCTTCCACCGCTTGTTTAGCGTTTTTGATATCTCACTTTCCGGATACTTCTTCCAGCGATGAAGGCGATCATGTCTCCAAATCTTCACCATCCAAGGCATTCACTTGGCCAAGGAGCGTGAGACGTTGAAAAATGAATTGAATAGAAATGAAGGAGGATCTTCGGTGCCACAGGTGCTGAAAATGGCATCTGCTCAATGGAAGAAGATGTCCGAGGAAGACAAAGCCCCATATGATGCCCCTATTCTGCACTGTCAGAATGTCACGCACATTGGTGTGCAGCATGGTGTGCTTTTGGATGGATCTAAGGATGAGTACCAAGTTAAGCTGCAAAAATGGAAGGAAGCCAAAACCACTTGGCGGTCTCATCTGTACTTGCCATCTGCAGCGTTGTAAATCAGAAATGCACCTTTTATCTATTGTCACTGGACTATTCAGGCAGACCATTTTGTATTTTTGTGACATGCCTGTCTGTCCTAACTTGCTTATGTTGAGTCACAAGCGTCAGAAAATGCGGAAGACAAAAGATCGTTGCAGATCAAAAAAAGGAAAATTGTCACAGATCATAAGAAGGCGCCTTTCTCGTTGCATGTCTTGTGGACAAGCAATGGGATTGCTAGGGAACAGAGCCTTGATTCGGACTTGCGCCTCTAGTTTAGAGGAGACTGGGGTCCCTGGAATAGGAGCTGCGCTTCCACTTATAGAGGAGAACGGAGTCTCTGTGCTTCTTTTTCTTGTGAAGGAGAACGGTGGTCTCTGGAATAGTAGTTGCGCCTTTACTTTAGAGCAGAACGGAGTCTCAGCCTTTATTTTAGAGGGGGACGGAATGTTTCTATTCTTTAGGAGAACGGAGGCTCTGGAATAGGAGTTGCCGCCTCTATTTTAAATGACAGCGGAGTCTCTGCAATCTTAGCTTTGCATCCATTTTAGTTGCCAACTATGTTTGTTTTTTGGTGGCCGACTCAGAGCTTTTTTAGTTGCCGATCCAGCGCTTTCTTAGTTGAGTTGGCGACTCAGAGTTCCTGACTCAGCGCTTTTGGTTGCCGACGCAGGCTGGTTTTGGTTGCCAACTCAGCCCTTTTTGGTTGCCAACTCATAGTTGCCGACTCAGCCCTTTTGGCTGCCGACTCAGACCGCGACCCCACCGTGCTACTTGCCACTTGCTTACTATATATTTGTAAAGTTCTGTCAGTATTCCGTCGTATTCTCTAACTTAAAAACAATTTTTAAGGTCTGGCATGATTTCCGGACAGCAAAGAGCTCCACAGGCACCTTCCAGAAGTCTCAGGACAGTGTATGAATGGGTGGGTCCGAAAGAAAAACAAATTAGATGTAATATATAGCTTCCAGCTCTCTGAAGAGGGGGGGTCCAAAAAAAGGATCGAACAAAAATATAAAAAATTGATCGATCCTTTTTTGGACCGACCCCTCTTCAGCTAGCTATATATTTCATTTAGTTTCATTTTTTCTGGTTTCTTCCTTCTCTTTCTTTAAAGAATGCTGTGCGTCTCTGGGAATCTCTGACAATGTTTGGAGATCTCCGTCAATCTCTGGGATTCTCTAGAGATCTCTGGGGATCCCGGATCCCTGGGGATCTCTGCAAATCTCTGAGAAGCACCTGAAGAATAAAAAGGAGAAAGGAAAAAACATACAAGAGCTAAAGTTCTACATGTTAGTCATTTCATGACATTAAGGAACATTATCCAATGAAAACTATATGAGCATAGAGGATCAAACATGAAGAAACACAGCATTCCTAGAAACGTGGAAAAATGGGAACCTGGAAGCGTGCCTTTCTGATAAATAATGGGATGTAAAAACCAGCGTTTTCAACTGGTGCAGGCTTTCGCAAACATCCACAACATGTATCATAGACATTCATAGATCGTCTTGGAGTTATGTCCGCCATGTTCACCTCTGCGGCCCAAGGCTACCAATGGTGCCATGAATTGGAGGCCCTCAGGCAGTCCGGCCACGACGCTTGGAGATTCATCAAATCCCTGGTAGGTTTCAGATGGTGTGTTGTTGTTCTTCTTGTTGTTGCTGCATGAGTTTCGTTTTTGTTTGATTTTGCTTGATGTTTTAGTCAAAAGTGGTTGGAACCCTACTTACAATGGTCATTTATCATTTGACGTGTTTTTTTTGGTGAATGGCCCAAAGTCCAAGACAGTTGGGCGCAATGTTCAGGCTCACACCCAGACACCCAGAGGTTTCGAAAGCAGCTATGGACATGTGTGTATTAGAGACGCTGGGATGTTCACCTACAGCCCCGCAGCCAAGTGTACGCACAAATTGGGACCGAAGCATCACTCACGCGAGTTACCGTAAAAAAAAATGATCCTGTCATGCGAACTCAATTTGCACTTGAGGATGTCTGGCTGAGAAATTCACAGCTGGCAAATGTGCTGGCTTAATGTCTTGCCTGGGATTTGATCAGGATTGAAGAAATCATGTGCCCAACCGAAAAATAGAAATCCAAGATGAACCAAGGACATCTGCTATATCTGCGTGTCTGAATTCATGAGGTATGTTGCCATAGAAATGCCACAGGCAACCGGTTTAAAGCTCCATTTTGGTCAAGACTGGCTTTCAGGGAGTAGACAAAAAGGTCACAAACACATGGTAATTGAGAGGTGCAGATCCCAGACTTCAACTGTATATGTATGTAGATAGGTCGATTTGATTGGGTTAGATTCAAATCAACCAGATAACAGATCAGATTGGATAGATTCTACTTGGTTTGATTAGGTTAGAAAACATCAGATACGTAGGTTCATGCATATTTAAATAGATACATAGATATGGGATAGATGGATGGATGGTTAGATGGATGGATAGATCAATAGATAGATAGATAGATAGATAGAAAGATAGATAGATAGACAAAAATAGATAAAGTCAGATAAAGATAGATAAAGATAGATAGATAGATAGATAGAGAGAGAGAGAGAGATAGATAGATAGATAGATAGACATACAGTCTGGCAGACAGATAGACAAACAGGTAGGCAGGTACATAGGTAGATAGAAAGATAGGTATTATAGATAGGTAGATAGGTAGATAGGTAAATAAAAAAAACATAGCTAGATAGATAGGCAAATAGATAGGCAAAAAGATAGGCAAAAAAATAGACAAATAGATAGGCAAATAGATAGGCAAATAGATACGTCTAGATACTATATTAATTAATACATATCATATAGATACGTGTAGATGATGCCAGTTCAAATGATGATGTTTGAAATAAATAGATGAACAAACATGGATTTATACAAGAGATAAATATATATATATGTATATTCACATTTGCAACATAGAGGGACTGCTTTACATCATTTTACAATATGTATATATATATACATTGTGACTTTATAAAGTATCTCATCCCATTTCCCCATTTTTGCACTGCAAGTCAGACCGCGTTTCGCGAGGAAGCTGTGGTGCAGATCGTCGAGGATGGTGGTCTCAGCGACAACGTGTGGATTTAACCCAGGTTATCTAAGGTATGCTTGTTGGTTCATAAGCATTTATAAAACCCATAATTAAATATGAGGGTTTCCCTAAAAGGGGGTACCCAATAGCTGGATGGTTTATAATGGAAAATCCTATCAAAATTTATGATTTGGGGGTACCCTTATTTTAGGACCACGCCATATAGATAGATCAATAGGTCTGAAGAAAAAACAACAACTTAGCTCAGTGCCAACGAAATTGGGGCAGCCCACAATCTGTGCGGAATTGTGCGGGATTGGTCAAAATATGTCACACTATGGGGAACAAAAATGGATATATATATACATATATATATACAGGGAATATGACCCAGCAAAAATGAGTATGTTACCCGGCAATTACAACGATATGATTCAATCCATCCTAAACGCAGGGGCGTTGTTGTTTCAAGATGTCAAGGCTGCATGTTTGAAGCTAAGCCCAGGAGGGTTATGATGCTTGGATGCCACCTTTACCTACACCGCGGCAGCGAACGGCCGAGACTTGGATGGAACCAACAGGTTGCGAACTTGAACATGGCCACATGGTCCATAGAAATCGCTGATGTACCTATTAAAAGTTGTGATTTTCCATAGCTAGACTAGTTTACCAAAGGGTAGACAGCAGCAACAAAGATTTGAACCAGACTTGCTCTTTCTTGGGTTTCTGTTCTGTTTTTTGGACCAACTTTTGGAGCCTTGGAACCGAACAGAATCCGAATGCAAGGCAAGTCCCGGAGCCCTCCCCTAAGCATCGTTGGAAAGAAGTTCAGGAAGAATCATGCCTGGGGTGCAAAATGAAAGGGATATATAGGTCTGATATGGTCTGACAGGAATCTGCGATTTGGAAACCTCGACCTGTCGAATGTCGCTGAAGGTTGAGGTTTGAGACATCACTTCATCAGATTCACATCATAAAGTTAGTGCTACGTCCCTGTTGCAAGTAAGGATTTGGGCTCTGCCAATCGGAGGCAAAATTTGCATGTTTGATCACCGAGGAAGGCATCGTAGCCACAGCGGATCAACAAGAACTGATTGAAGCCGTGCTGAGGACAGGGCAGTGGTGGGTTTTCGGTAGTGGTTCATTTCCGAGGGACCGTGTTAGCTGAGGCATTGTGAACTTTGGAATGTTGTCATTGACAACTTTGGGCATCATTCTATCAATGGCCATTTCAGGAACCTAAATTGGAGGTACCTACCATATATAAGGCCTATATGAGGCCTATGTAAGGGAATATCCCCACAAAATATGGCCTTATATGGTACAGTACCTCCATTTTAGGATCCTGGAATTCCCATTGAAATGTTGTCATTGACAACTTTGGGCATTCTACTGCCTTGCATGGCTTGCTCCAAGTAAAAAAAGGTAATGGGTGAACTCTCCAGGTCTAAATGGTAATGCGTCTGACCTGTGTATCTCTGTTTGGGAAGAACATATCCAAATTGATGCCATTGGAAAATATCTAACCACACATTAAAAGGAGGTGTAATCACACACAAATGCCGATCAAATCACACTGGTCAAGTGCCCGCAACATGAAAAATTGACGATTTTTCCACAGTCAAAGAAATACATATACCATCTGGTTATTTAACATAGCCATGGAAAATCACCATTTTTAATCGGTAAACTATCTATAAATGGGCCATATATACCATGGCTATGTTAAATAACCAGAGGGTATTTATTACACAAGCATCCATCTCTGCTGGTTCCCAAAGCAGATTTCATTCGAGACCGTGTAAAATCAACAAAACGCAGCATTGGCTGGTTCGAAATTCCCCAAATTGCGCCGATTATTTGCATAAAAATTGACCGCTATTCACACTTTTCCAAAAGATGCTGTTCATGTTTTTTCCAGCTATATTCAGGCAATGTGGACACTCAACATATCAAATGATTCTTTGACCTTTTTTTTAGCGATGATGGATCTCCAGCTGATGTTGATGAAGTTGTTATGTATATTTCCATCATGTTCCATGCTGGACTCATGCGCCAAATACAGCTACCATCATTCGATTCTGAGTTTGATGATTTCTTGGCTATCTTAATGTTGGCATTTGAAATAGGCTGTTGCACCACAATTGTTGCATGCGTTCCATATTTTTCCAGATTTCGTACGATCGGTGTTTTGCCACTGATTTTTGAGACCCGCAGATGACTCACGCGGTGCCCCAGTTTCACTAGGCGCTTGGACCAACAAAGGATCATTTTTCTGGGATAGCACCTTTCATCATAGCCCCCAGAAATAGCTTTGAAAATCATGAAGCGGTGTATTTGTATATAACTTATCCCAGAAATAGCTTTGAATATGGTGATGAAATGTAAGTCACCCTTCAAACTGGTATGTACGTGCAACTACTCAACATTATTGTTACTGGTTATACTATCCCTATATATCCAGTTATTTTGTGATTGATGTCCCCAAGAACCTCCTGTATTTCTGGTTGATGTACTTCTCCATTCTTACCCATCTTAGATGTGGTACAATCAATTAAATCCGGCGAATCTCCAATTTGTTTCATGGAGGTTTGCTGAAATGGTGGTACCCCTAAATCATTCATGTTAGTAAGATTTTCCATTATAAACTTTATAAACCAACCATTTTTGGGGATCGCCCATTTATGGTAATATTTGATGGTGAACTTCCTGTTATCAATGGATTTGTTTCCGGGAAAATCTACACCGGAAACCATCCATTTTCCATCATTTTCCAATGAAAAATCAGTTGGTTTTTCCTGTAATTTTTCCCTTAAACACCATAGGATCCATGTATGGTATATTTACCTACATTTGCCCTAATAATCCCCCAAATGTAGGTAAATATACCAGCACCATGGATCCTATGGGAACCAATCCCTTGATATCCTTCGGTTACCACGTCCAGGACCAGCAGCTCCAGCCCTTTATTCGTTTCGGGTCGCCGTGGCCGCGGGAAGTCCGCAGCCTTGGGTGTTGCCGCGGCGCTCTTGTTACGACGAGGTGGCGGCAGGGCAGGGTGCAGGTTGCTTTTAAGGGTAGAACCATGGGGAAATATATTGTACAATATACTGTACTGGCTGGGATTTAAGAAGATACAAATTACAAAGGGTATAGTGCCATAGTTAGTTAGAGGGGGTCATATTCCAATTTATGGGAGTTTATAAGAGTTTTAAATGCTCCAAATACGCCCTGAGAAGGCGTAACTAGGCCCCAAAACCACCCGCAAATTAACCAGTCTCAGAAGGTGTTTGGAGCCCTAGGGATAGTTATAACATGTTATAAACTCCCATAAGTTGGAACTACATTTCCATGTATACCTAACGGGATATTTATGATATATTCATGGGGAAATATACTGTACACTGTACAATATACTGGGATATAACATGATATAACTAACCAATTTGATATGATATACCCTATGGATCCAGCCGTAGCTGATCAGGAAGTATGACTGGGGGGTATATTGGGCGACTTACCTTCTCAGCAAGGACTTGGATACCTTGTAAGACCATCCACTCATTTGAACAGCAGCTGCTTTTCAGCCCTGTTGATTGATGATGCAGGGTCTATGCCTCCAAGATATTGGGATTTATCACCTAACACATTCGCAGTTGGAGATCCTATCAACAAGTGGCCACCGGGTTTAAGTTAATGGAGGTGATAAACCTAAACCAACTAGTGGCCACCATCTTTTGATCTTTCTAAAAATCTTGGTTTAGTATTGGATCTATTGAATTTGGTGGCGCAGGGTGAAGGGATTCCATCCACTGACGATTTGCTGAAATTGGGAGGGGTTCCTATTGCCATGTTGGATCAGTCGTGTCTGGATCGCGACTTTGCCATGTTGGTCCAAAACATAGGATGGTTCGGTTCATCGGTTTCTCATGAGCAAAACACACGGGGACCGGGTGCAATGTTTTTTTCCCCAAATTTTGGACCAACCCTTAAGAAACAAATTGCTGGTTGGTGGTTTAAAACATGAATGGATTATTTTCCCCAAGAGTTGGGATGATGCTCCAATCTGACGAACTCCATCATTTTTCAGGGGGGTAGGTATACCGGTATACCACCAATATCCACCAATTAGATTGGGCTTTACCCGAAATGTATGGCGTAGCCATGGCCAGGATGTGACAAAATCATCGTGACATCGCCCTCCTTGGAATCCACTCAGCAGCTCTTCAATTCTGCAGAGCGTGCCGCACGGGCGCAGTCGAGCAAGCAAGACGTGACGTGGCATCGACGCATCGACGCATCGACGTCACAATAGACGGTTGGGGGGATGGTCTTATGGCCTTGCTTCAGGTTGGTGAACTATTACAGTTCAGCTAGACTAAGAGACTAAATAATTAGATTTATAATAAAAGTTGAATGTTTCCCATGAAATCCATTAAATGCACATGTGTTGGATGTTTCCCTTTTTGCGAACCAAACCCCACGGTTGGAATCCCGGACTTTCAAAACTGTCGCCACGAGAAAAGATTCCAGCTGGATTTGCCTAGAAGTGGGAGGACATTCCTGATCCATAGGATCCATGGTGCTGGTATATATGCTAACATTGGGGGTATATTGATGGGATCCATGTTACCATATATAGCAGCACCATGGATCCTATGGGTGATAGCCCAAACATTGCAGGTGTTTGTTTCTATCCAGCGGTTTGGCAGGAGCTAAGAGCTATGGCTATCCATATTCCCTCTGAAATGGGGAGCTTCTAGGAGCTTCTATGAACTTTCCAACCACATCATAGCGTCTAGTTCTTGCAGGAAATGTGATCAACCATCAAATGAGGACATCAGCATGGTGAGAGTGAGCACCTGATGCCATAGGTTGCATCAAGTGATAGGTAGCATCAAGTTTCATTGTAGTGTGCGGATCGGGACGTCAGGTTGTGCCTATGTTTGATTCTGATAAACTTACACCCCGGTTATGACTGTTACGTAGCCATGGTATAGATGGCCCATAGAAATAGATGGTTTAGCGAATGAAAATTATGATTTTTTCCATGGCTATGAAAGTCATAACCAGATGGTAACAGATTCTTTGATCAAACCTATATAGTACCTCATCCATGGATATTAATGGTGTATACCAGTGAGTTTGCACTATCTCAAGCCAAGTGTTTGGCTTTGGGACCAGTTTTGATGTTCTTGGTGAGTTTGGCTCTCTTGGTGAAGATTAGTCTAACGACAGCAGGCAAGAACCTGAACCATGTCCCAGTTTCTAATGCGATTTTTACATGTGTTTGACACTATACATTGGATTTCATGGCCAGTCACATGGTACCTGGTGGTGCTTCAAATGCCTTCAGGTGGTGAGAAAGACACGCGGATTGCTGCAGATTGCGGCTGGACATTTGCAATTCGTTGCTGTTGGCGACCTCTTAGGCGACCATGGCTGCCATGGCTTAATATTGACACCCATGCTGACTTGGGGATACCCCATCAGATACATTAACATATAAATATAAATACTTATAAATGCTGATCAACCTACTTGTAAACCCACCTGCAACACCACCTTGTCGAGATCGTCAAGACAGCGTTTTGCGCATTAAACTTGGCGACGTGGCACCTCTATTCTACCCAGTCGCATCCTCATTAGTTTGGCAATGTTTGGCAGCAAGCCATTCAAGGTGCTAAATTGGTTTCTCAGTTGGTCAACTAGGATTTATGCTAGATATCTCCACATATCGTCTCCATATATTTCCATAGTGGGGTTTACAAACCAATTATGCTAGCATAGGCATAGACCCCAGATAGCAAAAGATATTTTTGGGCAGCGGGACAGCGAAGCGCTCCAAAACGCCGACTCGTGGAGGCAAAGAACGAGAGGCGCTAAAGAGCTGCCAGTCACTGGGCATTTGTCAAGGGATGGAACTGGCCTGAAAGCCCCATGTTCATCCCTCCCAGGTATATGATGTATATATAGAATTTATAATAGAATTGTAATTTGAATGATGTGATGATATAATGATGATAAAAATAGTATGTTTTAACTTAAACATATACTATATGTATCATGTCTTGATCCATCCCCATTTGGGTTTCTCCTTAAACAATGGGAGATACTCCAAGGAAAATGGTCATGTGATGCCGAAAATGGCCATGTCTAATGTTAATATGGTAATATCGATAGTTAATATCAATCTTAATAGTCAGTATAATACGTTTATATATATATAGTTCATTTTTTTTAATATATTGGTTTTTCTTATGGCGTGACAAATCCAACGGAAAATTTGTTTGCCTAAACTCCAGGTCATAGTTGCTGCTGGTGATTCATTTCCTGTCTCTTTCGATGGGCTTTCGTTGTTTCAAATGAGTTGATTCTCATGTCCGTCCCTGTGCTCTTGTGTTTTTTTCTCATCAACTGGTTGGGTTCATAAATCTTCGCAATCCCAATTTTATTTCCGAGCTAAATCAACTTCAAATTGTGTTTCCGAGTTGACTTCAATCCAATTTCTTTGCTGCAGTTTGCTGCTGGAATCACCACGTTTTTTTCCCGGCTCTCCCAACGGGTCAACGGGTGCCAGGTATTTATTCGTGGACGAGGCGGCCGGCCTTCCGGTGGCGGAAGCCACGCAGCTGCTGCGGACGGGCAAACGGGTGATTCTCGCGACCACCCTGGATGGTGGCTGGGCGAAGTTTCGAAAAACGACAGGTCCGACAGGTCGGCGTGGGACCATGAAGGCCCTATGGCTTATGGCCTATGGCCCAACTGTTTCATTATATCATCAATGGGATTGTTTCATTATATATATATTATATATATATATATTATATATATATTATTATATGTTATTATATAATATAATATATATATATATATTATATATATTATATATAATATATATATATACAAAAAAAATATATAATAATCAACTAGTTTTAGGAGTTAGTTCATCCCATTTATAAGTGTTAGTTGAACCATAGCTGTAGGAGGTCACATATGGAATGTTTTTTTCTGGAATGTTATTGAGGAGAGAATCGAAAAGAAGCACTTAACATGAAAAACGAAAGAATGTTAGGCCGTTGGTTCACCAAGAAATTGCAGCAGTTATTTCATCATATTTCATCCCATGGCCACAACTGTGAAGGGCCACAACTTAAGGCAAAAGGTGGACGCCACCAAGAAACATTGGATCTGGGTCCTTTCACCTATAGATCGTTGGGAAAATCAGTGATGTTTTTGGATGTTTTTAATTTATTTATCCTGAAAATGAAGAGGATTCATCGCAAGTAGACATATTCTGTTACAGGGATTGCAGATCATTATGCAATTTCCTCATCTTCCAGTTACCTATCAGATAGGTAACCACAACACCAAAAATCATGAGATTCGCATGGAACGATTCGGATAGGTCCGGGGTTGCACTTTGTCGCACCTATGAAGCCACCCAACCAAGGTTACGAAGGCAGTGGGCAGGGCTTCCTGCTACGTGCCCTTCCGGTACTGCAGGACAGGAAACTGTTGTTCTGTCTGGTTGGATGTGGTTGTACAGCCCAGTGAATGTTAGTAAAGCAGTGTCACAAACCACCCATTGAATTGGATGTTAATACCACCCATAAAAAGGAATCTATTTTTTAGCTGACATTGTTAACTTCCCGATTGCTGTATAATGCATTATACCTCATGGATCCAGCCATAGCTCCTATTGAAGTATGGTGGGTATTGATTTGGGTCGTGATTTGTCCCTTCGAGAAGGATGTATTTGGATCCATAGGGGTTGTATATTATTTAATTGTCAGTACAATTATAAAACGCTTAATAGAATTAGATCACCTCATTTTCTCCAATTTATAAATACATATACAATTGGATTGTGCCTTGGTTGTTAGCCGCATTGCAAGTGGGGTGCACGTCCAATCTGGATGGACAACAACGACATATTTGTGGTATTGCCAATAATTGCGTGCCCTTTTGTGTTTGTTTGTTGATTTATATTGTAAGATCAAGAATAGTAACAACAACCATTTGTGAATAATTGGATGGTTGATGATGGAAGATAACTGGGGGGTACCCCCGTGACTTAGGAAAGCTGAATTTGCATCACAAGGTTGATATTGCCTGATGGGTCCCGCACATCCAAGTCAGGACACCAAGAAGCAGCTGCGGCACTTTCGCCTTCACGAGCCATTGCGCTGGACAGAGGGTGGGGTGCCCAGAGAGTGCGCTGGGGGCTTGGCCTGTGATGGGAGATGTTATTTTTTCTTTTTTTTTGCGAAGGTGGGGGTATACGATATATATATATATATATATATATACATTATATATATAAGCCGCCACATATATATATATATTATTATATATAAGCCACCACATATATATATATATATGTATTTATTTACATATGTATATATATATATATACATATATATATATATACATAGATCGATATATATATATATATACATAGATCGATATAGCAATCATGGGGAAAACATGTGTTTTTTGATGAGCATGCTATTTATTGTATTGCTTCAGCATGAAGGGTGTTTTCACGGCAAAGGTTTCGGCAATCTGACAATCATACCTAGAAGGTGGTGCCCCCCGGTATGCAACATGTGTAGCTTAATCAGAATTCACAGTACCAGATGATTAGATGAATTAGATGTATCAAAATACGATTCATGGGGTATATAAATCAACAAACACCGTTTTTACAGTAGATATATCTATAGTTAATGGTGTGTATGGTAACCGACAGAATTATGGAAAAAAAAAACGTTCAACTTAGACAGGCGGCGCCTGCGTCCGATTTTTCCATAATTAGGTTTTTCCCCATAAGGGTTCAAAATATCCCGGAAGTGATCCGAACCTTTTTTTTTTCCATAATTCTTGGAGGTGGCCATTATTTCCATAATTGATTTTTCCTGTAAAATCAGGGGGCTAGGGCAGATTGACCGGTTTTTCCATAATTATTGTTTTCCATAATTATTTTTTCCATAATTATTTTTTCCATAATTATTGGCAGGCTTAGGGGCATATACCAGATCTTTAGACACATATTTTCAATATTCCCCCTTAAAATGCATTCAAATTGCGAACATCACATGATATTATGTATATCAATGGCAGACTTTAGGGGCATATACCAGATCTTTAGACACATATTTTCTATAATTCAATATTCCCCCTTAAAATGCATTCAAATTGCGAACATCACATGATATTATGTATATCAATGGAAGACTTAGGGGCATATACCAGATCTTTAGACACATATTTTCTATAATTCAATATTCCCCCTTAAAATGCATTCAAATTGCGAATCGATGGACATACAGTCACCGACAGAATTATGGAAAAAAAATAATTATGGAAAAAATAATTATGGAAAAAAAAAGGTTCGTAACTTTTCTATCATAGACAGGCGGCGCCTGTAAATTGAAACGTTTTTTTTTCCATAATTCTGTCGGGTGCTGTATATGTATATATACTTAGTATGATACAATAAAGACCAAATTGAACATACTTGCTGCTGCCCAGGATTTGCCCATAATCAATGAAACGGTTAGGTGTGTTTGTAGGCTTATTCTAGATGCACGCCACTATCGAGATAAGCCAATTAGGCACCATGATTCCCTGGAAATGTTAGCCATTTGCAGTTCAGAACTGATTCACTGATGGCAGAACTGATGGAACTGTCGCGTCGCAGTCTCACACTGTCGAGATTACCCTTGAAACAGTCACCATCTCTGACCATTGTCACAGCTAGGACCTTGATGTCCAAATCTGAAGCACTTCAGGTGTTGAATACAGGAGAGGAGAAGATCTCGTGAGGAAAGAAAACAAGGATGAATAATGTGTGAAAAAGAAACAATCCTTGTTCACAATCTAGATCCACCAAAGTTTTGCAAGGGCAATTTGCGAGACGAATTTTAGATCGAAGTTGGCGCCATGGGCAACCTTGCAGGCCAGGGGCGTGGACCTGGTTTCCCATTTATAGTGAGTTTTCCCATGAACAATGGTGATTCTCCATAGTTATGTTAGCTTACCAGAGTGTAATATCTCAGTTCCGCAGTTCATGCCAGTTATGAAATGTTATGAAGATAGAAATAGCATGAAATAGCCCAGTGGATGCTCTTTCAAAGCCATTTGCGAACGTCCAGGATCCAAACACTTAGTAATGCCAACCAGATTGGGCATTTGGACAAACAATCTTCATTGGTCATTGCTGGTTGGTGGTTTGGAACATGATTTATTTTTTCCATATATTGGGAATAATAATCCCAACCGACTTTCATAGTTTTTTTTTTCAGATGGGTAGGTATACCACCAATCAGATTGGAGACCATATAGATCAAGCCACAAGTCAAATTTCAGGGTCATCCAAACATGCTGACCATCACCCCATAAAAATGGGTCTACCTTGACCATCTTGACCCTCAGCTGAATCCTGATTTCCAGTACTCCTACATCACACATCAAATTACATATGTATGTATGTATTGAATGTAATGTAGTGTAGTGTAATGTAATGTATTGAATGTAATGTAATGTAATGTAATGTAATGTGTATATATATATGTATATATCGTATTTATATATATATGTAAATATACGTAAATATAAATATGATCAAATATGATTATGTCTGTATAGACCGATTTTTGTGAATCACTTTTGGGAGTAGCTATCACCGCCGCAGGCCGAACGTCAAGCGAAGGCTCAAGAGGCTCCGACGGAAGCATCTCCGTGGAGGAACTCCAAAAGCACAACACCAAGGCGGGAGCCGTGTCCCATACGCTGGTGGTTGATGATTATGAATATCTATCGGACTATTAAATCACCGTTGGTTAAAAGGTTAATTATATTATTACTATGATTAAACCATTACTATCTAGTTTAACAGTGTTGGTTGTCTTTGGTAATCAAACAGTGCAAATGACAATCCACTTTAAATATCTATAAATGCTGTTTTAGTGGGAAGTAATCCAACTATAGTGGGATCATTGAGAATCATCAACAAGATAGGGTTGACATAGACTTAGGGTAATCCATCAAAACAGCATTGATAACCTTTAGCAATTGAAAATCCGCTTGAAATGCTGTTTATAGCTGGGGAAATCATCTATAGATTTTGGTGGATTTTCCAGCAAACCATGGGGATGTTGGAAAACAATGAAGAATGTGAATCATGGAAGACTTACATGGATTTACTGCAATTTGAGAAACAACTTATGGAGAATTGACCTTGGATTCACCTGAATTTCAATGGCGATGTTCATTTTGTTGAACGGGCAAACCAATGGTTGAAGGGGCACCTCATTTTAAAAAGCACTCATATGATGTATACAGGGGTTTCATCAGTTGAATTCAGAAGCATGGCGGATGGTGACACGCTGTTAACCTTCTGGCGGTTTTCTATGGTTTTCCAAGAACGTTCAAATAAATTCGATGAAGTACAATTGTCCAAGTGTCTTCCAAAAAATAAATGGTGATTTGATCATGGTCTTTGGTTTGGTTTTCCGATTGGTTTTCACCATCGTTTTCATGGTTTTCCATGTTTTTTTTCCACAGTTTGTCCATTGTTTTCCACGGTTTTTCCCGGCAACGGTTTCCATGGATCCGTTGCGTTGGTTTTTAGGACGATGCCTGGATGGTCCTCTTCGGTGAAGTCTTGGATGTGACGAAGTTCATCCCCATACACCCCGGAGGCGTTGAGAATCGAAAGAAAGTTAGTGCTGGGATGGTAGTTATGGTACCCTCTGGTAAACGTTTACAAATAGTGGTTTAACGGGATTTATAGTGATTCAATGGGATCTTAATGGGATATACCCTCTGGTGGTGATATAATGATATATTATATAATGGTGATTTATAGATGGTTTACCTATTAAACATTGTGATTTTCTATAGTTATGGTAAACGGGCTAACATAACGAACTGGAAAGATCCACCATGCTATTAATGGGAAAACTCACTATTTCTATGGGCAATTTTCAATAGCAAACTGTTAGTTTACCAGAGGGTGGTATAACTACAATAGTACTATATGGTGATACAAGATCAACATAATTGTGTTGTGATTGCTATGTTGATAGTCGGACGGATATAACTGTTGGTGATAGTTGATGATTATTATGTTGATAAATATTGCTGGATTATGATAGTTAGAACTAATGGTGATTACAATCATAACACAACTATGTCAACATAAACAAATGCTGGGATTGTTGTTGTTTTAATGTGGTTAAAACAATGTCAGAAACTACCCATTTGGGAATGGTAACCATACCACCTACAAGAATGGTGATGACTGGAGGATGGTTTCTTGTTGTTTTAACCACATTATGTTGTTTTGGTTGTGTTATGATTGTTGGAATATCTATATATTAGAATATGATGTTCTTGGAATTGTCGATAATTGTTTTATATTTCATCTATTTCCATCCATTTCCCCATTCATCGCTGGGATTGTTGCTGTGTTGTTCTGTCACTATGGATGGTTGCGAAATCCTGCAGCACTTGGTAGATGGCTTTTGTTGACATCCCAGAACCTTTCCATAAGATATTTGCAAATATTAAAAAGGAATAGTGTTTTCCCTTTACGTTTTAGGAGGCAGGTGTCATCCGCTGGAGGCAGGTGTCATCCGCTGGAGGCATTTACACATATTTAAACAGATATTCCATGGTGTCATAGGAATCCTAATATGTTTTTTTTTCAACTGGAAGCAGGATGCTTTGCATCCGCTGGTAGCTGGGTAGCCGGATCAACCCGGTTTCGTCCCTTGATTTGGCGATGTTCGGAGTTCCGGATCGGCAAATCCAAGATGTCTTTGATTTACCCTCTGGTTATTTAACATAGCCATGGAAAATGGCCCATTTATAGATGGTTTACCTATTAAAAATTGTGATTTTCCATGGCTATGTTAAATAACCAGATGGTAAATGACCAGTGCACAGTTGTCTTTTAGCAATGAGTGACTCTTGTCTTCTTGGAGTTTGGCTGAAACAATGAGGAATTAATCAATTGGATGATTGGATGATGTGTTCCTACTCCTCGGGCCTGCCATGGTTTTGGTCGTGTTCATCGGAGACATGTGTGTGTGGTGGTTGAATGCTGGGTCTATCCAGGCACTGATACCATTGACATGTACCTTGGCCAGAATGATGGGATGAAATGGGTTGAGTGCGAAGAGAAAGGATCAACCTTTTCGATACTCATACATTACCGTTCATGTAGTACATAAGTATCTGTGCATATGAATGATACACCATTGCGAAGACCAAAATTGAACGGCACTATGTGAAGGGCCCATTGATGAATACCTCAGCACTGATATTGGATACAGTGACGAGCCCCCCAGACGTTATATATGATTAGGCTTTCAATACCCCAATCACTATGATATTAAAAACCATTCAGAAGGGTGAATGCGGAACCAGCGGTCCACCGCAAAATCTTATGGGTTATCATCACTGATCATCACTGATACCATTTAATGCTCATTTTATAGGTACACCGGTGTACGCCCCAAATACGCAGACACGCGCACATTAGCCCTTTGATGTCACCTACCTGAGGTATTTGGGCAAAGATGCAACCGACGCTGGGCTTTTGCGTGGATGAGAGCATGAACATAACACACGAA